ATAACTTTCATTAATTTTATTACAAAAGTACATGTTTTAATTTCTGAAAGTTATGCAGAAGATTTATGTGCGGAAAATACTACAATTAAATGATAAACGAGAGATGTGATTACATTCACTGTCTACGTCATTAAGTTTTTAAACATATTGTTTCATGGTTACTTGTGATACACTTTATTAATATAATTGATTAAATACTACCAATTATCATCCTCGAACAAAATTAATCTTACCTTGGTAGTAATTCAACTGTATATTTTCGAGACTTCTAAAATAAGAATTTTGTTTGAATATTCCTTTATTTGATAGTTAAAAAATAATGTGTGGAATATTTCTCAATGAGAAGATTTTTATAATTCATGAACTTGATGATTGAGATTTATTTGCAAGCTTTATACAAGGAATACTATAGAAACACAGAAGGAAAAGGCAGGGATAGTAAATGAAAACAACTAAATACATTGTTAATCATTATGTAATTTTTTATTTATCATTTTAAGGATATTATCACTATTTTTGAAAATGCATAGCTATTCTTCAGTACATGGTATTGTTTTAACTAAATGCAACATCAAAATTACTCATACTACGTCAGCAGTGAGCGTAAAGACGTCGGAGGGACACGGGCCAATGACTCACGCAGCCGCGCTCTCTCTCTCTCTCTCACGCACACGCACATACACACGCATACCATCAGGCGCGAAACGAAGTGCCTCCCCTCGCACAGCGGGCGTCTCTCTCCCGCTCGCTCCTCCCTCCTCCGGACGGGCCGGCGCGCCGCCCACTGTGACGCGCGCGCGCGTAATACTGTCAGAATACCCTTAAGTAGCTTCCGTCGGCTTCCAGCCACTCTCCTGCTTGCCCTACGGTCTGGGGCTGACGAAATGACGTAGAGCCACCTTGCAGTATATTCTTTTCTCTATCGTTCGTGAAATGTGAGAGCCCATCTCTGAGTCGTAATAATACATTATTCCTATTTATTAAAAAAATAAAAAATAAAATCAAAAAAATCTAATTGAATTTCAGGATATTCAACTATTACTGTATAAACTTAATTTAATCTATGTCTACCGGTAAGTAATTTTTGTTACGCAAGTTGAAATGATTTATATTAAATTGTTCATGATTTATATCAAAGTTCACAGGGAAACGACACTGATGTTGAAAGCAAGCAGTTAAAGAAGGCGTGCAAATACAAAATAGAGAAAAAGCTTATTCTTCGCTAGAGAAGTTTGCTGTAGACACGATATTCGCTAAGAGGTGTCTACAGAACCATCACCTTCGGTTACGAATGTGAAGGAGTGACGTTGTTCCTTTGTTCGTCTGCTAAGTTCCAGGCGAGACAAGCCACATTTCACACGAGCGCAACGCACAAGCATCTAATATCAACCAAAAGCAAAAGCTAAATACTTCAACGATCCAATCTAAATGTTAACTTTCTTTTTATTTAAGTTTAACATAAATCAAGAGACAGAAGTAAACTAAAAACCAAAAAATATTTTCGTAATTAAATCTGAAAGTTCCTTCTCAAAATTGCATCAAATGTGTGGGAAATAATTATAAAAATGAAACCTAATTTTATAAAATAAGGCTTTACCTTAACGTCGACATGCTACAATATAAAGTGTTGTATGGATCATGAATCGACACAACAAAGAAATTTTGCCACATCTTCGTTGCAATGTAGATCTCTCTACATATAATTCGTGAAGCAAGTAATAAACAATCTAATGCAATCCAAATGTTCACCATTAAGACAAATTCTTATTCGACCGGAGAATTTCACCTAAGGTGCGCAGGAGAGTGTCTGGAAACTATTAAAATTCTTTTCGCTGGCTAGAAGAGGCAATTTGTTTTGCTGTTTTAACGAACATTCATACACTAAATATTGTTACGAGTATTGTTTTAGTATTACGTTTTAAAAATCAATTAGAAGGACGCAAACAGCATCCCTTCTGGAATACTTCAAATAAATTGAAATGTCTTTTTCTAGAAAAATAATAATCATACAATTTCTCCTACAAACTAATTAGAAACGCCACGTATCGCGTGGGGAACACAATCAGAGAGGCGGTAAAACACTGCAGCTTGCGTGCGGGCGGCGTCGGCAGTATTCGAGACTAGGGCAAGGAGGACGAACGGTAACCAATTTGGATCCACGTATCTTTCAAACACGGTCGTCAATGGGCAGTGCTTATGCTAGACCAAGAGTCTCCAAACAAATTGCTATTATTACTCAGCCCGGAGCTTGATTAAACCAACTTTAAAATACAAAATATACATGATTTTACAGGCTTAGTTTAGTAAAGAAAAAGAAAGGCGCGTTGTTGTGGTTTTTGCTATTTCATCGAAATTTGGAAGATACCATGTTTCCGGTACAATCGAGAAACACTTGGAACGAATTACTCATATCCATACCTTGGATAATAATAGATTTCATTTTTATTTAGAAGAAACTACGTAACCTTCATTGAAAATGACTGGAGGTCCCGATATTCGATACCCGATCGCTTCTTGTTTACAATCAAAGTAGTAGGTAGTCTATCATCTCTCCACAGAAACTCGCGCTCAAATAAAATACACAGAAACAGGACACCGAACCTCTTCCCAAATGGAATGCACGTCATGAATCTTCTCAAAGTTTTAAGAAAAGTGATAGTCTGGAATTTTCAAAATATTCTTTCAAGACTTTGCGTACATCAAACGTCTCGAATAATACCGAAAGTACCCGAATGAATCCCAGAGATATTTTGTTTATCATCTTTGATTTGAACCTTTGTTCTGTATTTCAAAAAATAAATAGATTTAATAAATAAAATGTGAACTCGTATTGTGTTCGTGTGCTTCCGAGCTCTTGCTTCAAGTGTACACTGCTTATTACATCACATACTACAATACTACAGCGTCCAAATGAAACTGCGGGGGCGTATGTTGAAATGACGACAAAATTGCTTTCACAATACAGCATATTTACACTATTTACAAAACTTACGCCATAAGTATGATACTTGTAAATAATACACCTGCAAACTCAAAAGTAGGCCTAGTTTTGTAATACAAATACAACACTTGATAATACAAAAAGTCTTACAAAAGTCTCTGACGGTTACAAAGAAGCGTCCATCTGGAAGCCGGGCCCGCACGGCACATGGCCGGCGGAACACTAGCGCTCGCCGCGGCCGCAACGGGCGCGAGAGAGCCTACTGGGTGCACAACGAATCAGAAGGCATCGGATCCAACACTGGCAACGGGGCAGGAGAGTTATCTTGTCTCAACACTGTCTATTTAATAAACCGTGAAAGGCAAGAAAAACGTACAGTTGGTAGTTTCTTCAATTCCAATTCATTCTATTTTTAATTAAGGTATCCCGCAACGATTTTCCGTTGCCATTACTGGAACCGAACTTCACTTCCCAAATAAATTTTTAACTACGATATACTTTTCAATGATTCCTGATCGACAATAGTCAATGTGACATATAAAATATCTAATGTAGCATACAATTGTAAATACTCTGAGATATCACAATAGTTAGTCTACAGCGTTGAAATATTTTCTGGTATTTCGAAGTATTTAATTCATCCACCTCTTTTGGACGCCAATTGCGAAAGGAAATCAGCAAAAATGCAATCAATTATTCATGATCACATTCAAATATTTAAAAGACAGATTTTTTGACGACAAATTAAAAAGAAATACGGTCTTAATAACTTGATAGCTAGAAAAAAGCAAGTGCAAAGTACCGTAGATACTGAAATTTTTAATTGGGACCTTGCACATGGGAATGTGCTACAAAATACTGTCGTTGCGCAAAGAAAATTCTATAAACGATTTTTTTTTAATCTTACACAATTTTTGAGCCATTCTGTCAGGCAACGTAAGTTCACTAACTTCATGCGCAATAATTCCCGGCAGACCACGAATGAAGACGGGGGAGTCATCAATGGCTCACTTTCGCCAGTCGAAAAGCGAAGTGCGCGAGAGGATTTCCTTCCCAGCGGGCGTCCCAAGGCTCAGCTCGGCCCGGCCCGCACGCGCCTCACGGCCCGAGGGCGAGGCGCTGCGGGCGCCACGGCGCGACCGTGGAGGCCACCAGGGCGACCGCGGCGGCGACTAGTCAGTAGTCCGCACCTGCGGGCGGCGCGCTGCCCGACGCCTCCCAGCCGGCGCCCAGGCGGTCGGCGGCGACGGGGATGGGCTCGGCGGCGGCGGCGGGCTCCGCCACGAGCGACGCGCCCTCGGGGGCGGACGGCGACCGCGCCGCCGGGCCTCTGCTTTCTCCTTGCCCCCGCCGTCCCGGCCCCCGTGCGAGAGCGCCGCGGGCGCAGGGTTCGGGCGCCGCCGAGGCTCAGTCGTTTCCGTGGGTGCGCGGAGGCGCCGCGAAGGAGTCGCATCGCCAGCGACGCCGCCAGCCTCGGCACTGAGCGCTCCACCTTGGTGGTGGCGGCGCCGCGCCGCGCTCGACGGCGTCGCGACGACGTCGGCGGACGGCGTCACTGTCGCCGCCGTCCGCTGCCGTCGTCGTCGTACCCGCCGTGGTCGTTGGCGGCGACGGCGACGCCGCCCGTTCGTTAGCTCGCGCGCCGCTGTCGCGCCGCTCGACGCCGATGTCATGGTAACCGATTCACCCATTCTTTCCCTGCTTCACGTCACTCGTCAACACGCCTCGCGAGACCTCTTGGTTCTGTGCTGCTTGTCCTTGCCCTCCTTCCCGCCCTTCGCTTGCACTCCCTGCCCCGCCCTCCCCGCCGCGCCCTTGCCCGCGTTCTTGCCCTTGTTGGGCTTGGGGCGCTTGCGTGTGGGCTTCTTGGCCTGCGCGGGGGCGTCGGGCGCGGTCGTGGGCGCGCCGGTCGTCGCCGCCCAGCCGCGCCTTGCGCCGCGCCGCTCCAAGCCGCAGGCGCCTTCTTGCACGCGGCCGTAGCCTCGCCCTCCAGGCACTCTTGGGGCGGCGCGGGCCGGGGCCGGGCGGACGGGTGGTGGCTGCGGCGGTGGCCGTGGCTCGGGGTCGCGCGCGGCGCCGGGCCGCGCTGCACAGCTCGCTCTCTGGCTCGCCTTGCCGGCAGCGCCGCTTCTTCTTGCCGCGCTTCTTGCGGCCGCGGCAGGCGCGCCGTGTCGCGGCCCGCCGCTCGTCCTGCTCGCGCCGCGGGCCCGCGCTGCCGCCGCCGGCGACGCGCGGGCACAGGTGCGTGGACGGGTGGCGCACCATCCGCTCGTCGAAGAAGAGCGAGTCGCCGAAGCGGCGCGCTAGCAGCTGCTTCACGTGCCACTCCTCCACCTACGCCAATTGCAAATGAGAACAAATTACAAGAAATGTCATAGAAACAACTGTAACATTAGGATCGTTTAAATTAAATAGCATTTGCAAATGTTTTGCCAGTAACTGGTACCTCAATCATTATCAACATTTAATCAGAATGTTTATTACAATTATGAACATATTTCTTAGAAACATTTTACATCATTACTAATCGTTAAAATTATTATAAGTATAATAAATACATATATTCATCGGTTAAGATGAAAATGCCTTTTTCGTTTAGATGTCATCTACGCAAGTGGGGTACATATGCCAGGAACACAATTCGCAAGGAATCAGACGTATCATTTGAAATAATGTTTCTCCAAACATTCGAGCCAATTACCTGATATTTGTGTAAAATATAAAACATTCCTAGAAATATTTCAGCATTTTAAATAATTGGTCGTCATTGGGTTTCAATAACTGTTGTATATACATAATCTGAAAGCGACTGTAAATTAAATCTTTCAAAACTGTAAAATAATAAAGTTTCGCAATGTAGTCGGAATTCGTAAAGACTTTCGGATGTTTTGCCAATCGTTTTCCACATTGATTTTGTTTTTAGCAATGAGCTAAAGCTTTAGAAGGGAAGCAGATGGTCAAGATAGTCCACGACCACATCAGGCTGTAGCGATTTGAAAAAAGAAGGACAAGAAGAAGTGGTAATGTTAAATAATAATAATAATAATAATAATAATAATAATAATAATAATAATAATAAGAAGAAGAAGAAGAAGAAGAAGAAGAAAGAGATGAAGAAGAAGAAGAAGAAGAAGAAGAAGAAGAAGAAGAAGAAGAAGAAGAAGAAGAAGAAGAAAGAGATGAAGAAGAAAGAGATGAAGAAGAAGGAGGAAAAATAAAGGTAGGAGAAGGAGCGCTGCAGAGGTTCGTTCGTACCTTGAGCGGCAGCACCTTGGCCTGGCGCATGAGCTTGCCGAAGGACGCCCCCGCCCGCAGCTGCAGCTTCCGCGGCCGCCCGTTCTTGTTGAGAGCCACGTACAGCGTGCGCTTGGCGTTCGAGTAGCGCACCGACGAGTACGTGTTGTAGCTCGTCTCCTTGTCGATCTTCTCCGTGAACACACATTCCTCCGTGGCCTCACTCTGCAACAAGTGGATGCGACGAACAAGCTTATTACATGCTGACACGCACTTACATTTAAAAAAAACTTCTAATGGAGCAAACATGACGTTAATACAGCGTTTCATGTTGAATAATTCCTTTGCAATAATTCTCTGTGACTGACATCACAATGGTTCTGTTCTACGTTTATGATATGTTGGCGATTACTTAGAATTCGAAATATTCAACTGGAATACAAATTTCATAATCATATTATAGAAGAGCAACGTAACACTGAAAAGAGAGAAAATATTTCATAAATGATGGAATGTTTTGAAAGGACATATACTTTTTCTTGCAAGAAGTACGAGGAAGAGAACAATCAAAATGCGAAGACAATTTAAATCATAAAGAAGCCATTACAAAGGAGGGTACATGCGTGCAGTGCATGAACATCTATTGATGTCGAAGAAGAAATATAATTTTTTCACGTCTAATAATGCGCACATAAATCAATAAGCGTTCGCGTACAATCAAATATAAAATGTGATATATGTCATTTATATATGAAATTAATAACTTGTCAAATGTAAATGAAACATGATCTTTTCTTCGCGAAAATCTTGTGATCTCCAATGTTTGTCACAAACACTGCTTTTAAAACAAATTCAATTTAGATAATTTTGCATAGTAAAGTCATCTTAATGGTCATTGCTAATACTTAACACGAAAGAAACGCGAATGGTTAGGTCCTCTCACGACAGTTCAGAAATCGTTTTTATAATGTATTTTTCGCGTCCCTATCAGATTTAAAACTTGCAAATTGAAGCCAGAGTAATGAAATATTATTACAAGTCATTCTTCATTGTTTGATTATTAGCCTTTCAAATACTGAAAATTAGTTGCGGCGTCTTGTGTACGTGATTACCAGCTATTGCTTAAAACAAGAGAGGAAAATAAGTCAGAAAATGACATCAACAGGCCATAAAAGCCGAAGAGACAAATTACGGTAATCAAAGACGACCGCTTTTTAGGTCCGCCGCCGTTTTTCGCCTCAGAGCGCGCGGTGAGGGGCGAGGAGAATGCTCGGGAGGGGAGGTAACCGAGGGGAGGGGGCTCGCACGCGCTCACGCGTGCGCGATGCCATCGAGAGGGCACGGGAGCACGTCCCCTGCATGGCAAGCAGCGCGCCGCCGCCTTCATCGCCCGCCCCCTCCTTTTTGCTGCATCCGGAGATACCCGAGTCCGACACAGAATTTGGGCTTTGGAGGCCCTACACAGCCCTCGACTCACGCTGCCACGGCCATTGTAGTTCTGATCTACGCCACACTTTTCGAGAATACGTCAGACACAGAAGGTGGCAGCTTATAAATCATTACGTATCCTCTGTGGCAAACTTGTGGAGAGAGTGGCAAAGGAATCATAAATTCCCGATGTACTAGTAGAGATTAAAATTATTTGTTGCTCGATCCTGATGAATAGATCGTGTGTCACTAGACGAACGATGTAAAAACAAGTTATCAATTACACTTGATACCACAATTAGGTGATGAAAGCCTTCTTGAATCGTCGCTTTGCAAGAATAAGGCTAAAAACTTTTTACTTACTATTCATATTTACTTTACTATTCATAATTAGTTCTTTCATTAAGATCATATATATGATACTTTTAGTAGTTTGCATGAAGTATTGCGAGGAAATATGTGCAATTTTAAAAGTAACCAAAAATTATTTACTCAAAAACTGCTCCAAATTTTTCTTTAAACTTTTGATAGCGATACTGCTAAATGTATTAACGCCATTTTGATCTATTATTTTGTTTTGTTTTAAATTACAAAAAAATATTTTTTACTAGCTTCTCACGTCATTAAGATTTACATTAGCGATGATTTGTTCACAGTATTGCATTTATGAGTACATGTAAAAGATAATGTCATTACGTTTCTCGCGCACTCAAAAGGTTTCTGTTAAAACGAGCTCAAAATTCTGCATTTTCAAAAACGCTCAAACACTATTTCTCGAAAACGTTTGCAATTTTTTTCTGTATTTTTTTTTCAAATTGATAGTGCTAAATGCCCTGTTTAAGATGATAGAAAATAATTTTACTGAATACTTTTTTCTTAAAATAATTATACAAATGGATTTTTCTAAATATCTCTTACGCCGTCAATATTCACAATTCAAGAAATTTGTATACATTATTCCATTTGTGAGTGGACATGCATCAAAGGATTTTCACTGAAGTTTTTCGATAACTCAAAAGATACATATGAAATGAGCTTCAAATTTAGTATTGACACTAGAGCTCTTTCTTAAAAACGGTTCCAGATATTTCAACGAAAATTGTCATTTTGAACGAGTTTTTAATTCCTTAATATCCCAAAAGTAATATTTCGAATCTACCATTAGGAAACCAAAAATTGAGAATACTTTTAAAAAAATTATTTTGGGCGGCGATAGATGGCAGCTGGCAAGAGGATGGAGCAAGACCGTAAAGTTACTCCAGACGAAAGAAATTAGAAAACTACGTAGTACGAAAAAGTCTGTGCCTTTCTGTAGTACCACTAGTTTTTCTTAAGTCTTTGGGGTCCCCACTGTGAACCTTTGAATAAAAAAAAATACTTATTCTGACTTCATTGAGTCGATAATATTGTATAAGGTGGTATAAGATGGCCTGTGTAGCATACGCATTGATCATATTTACTTTCCTAAATGTTAGAAATTAAAGAACAAAGGTGAATACTTGTCTGGGTTTGTGTTACGATCAAACGTGAAGAAACATAGAAAAGTATTTGGTAATTGCATTTCAATTAAGTGTTTTGGCAATTTTGTTATATGATACACGTTTTTAGAAGTTTCAAATGTGACAACAATTTTTGATATAATTCATACATTTTCAAATTGTGTTATGACAGCAATGGAAAAACCGTTATGGAGAAAATAATGCATATTCGTTTCCTATACACTTCAATTTTCAAGTTAATGAAAGGATTTGGACCCATCCTCAGACTTGACTACTTGCCTGACGGTAATTTCAATTTGTTTCACTTCAGGCCTCTCCGTCGGCGTTTCTGAAGTGCGACAGGCACTGAGGCCATAATATGAGTCTCCGAGGCCAACCTATTCTTTGACAATTCTTCAGACGACAAAAAAATATGATGCTCAAACTCGTGGCAGGTTGGCAGAGGAATTGGCGATTACGTGCATGCTGACGACTGCGAGCAAAGAGCGCTCGCCGCGAAGATCATGGCAGTGATACAGGCCGAAATGCGGCATCAACATCGAGAATACAGACGGGTCCGACAGTGACGGCGGGCGCGGCGTGGCGAGGCGCGGCGCGGGGAGTTGCGGGGAGAACCGGGCGTGGCGGGGCGGAGGGGGCGACTGCGGCAGCCGCCCGGGATTCCGCAGCTTCCCCGCGTATGCAGAGCGCGACCGCCCCGTGCCGTGTAGATCACGCGATAGGGCCGGCGGGCGCTTGATTTACTGGCCTCCTTACAAGGCGGCGCCATCGCATCCCAACCCCAGTTGTCCGGGCCGGGCAGGTCAGCGCCGCGCAAAACCGCTTCAAAGCTGCATCAGAGCATCTGCAGGACCCCCTCCCGCCGCCCCGTTTGGATGTCCGACGTCGATGGCTGACGGCCCGTGTTTGTTGGGCGGGGTACTTTGTCCGATGGCTTTAGAACTTTTTCACCCACATGCAGCTGCACATTTTGTGGCTCCAAGCTACCAAAGGTTCGAGAGCGAACGGAGCGCCAGTCTGAGATAAAATCGAGCGCAATCTAAAATTTTATCAAAGCGCGTATGGTAACGTGTGGAAGTTACTGATCACGAAAATTGCATATTTGTTATATGAGAAGAACATTAAATGGTCACAAATGGAACATTAAACCGAAAGAAGATCGGAATTCTAGATTCTATTATTTATGATTCAATTTCACGAGCGTTATCGACATGTTCTTAACACGTTTTGAAACACTTCGTTTAAATAGCTACTAAATAAGAAAGTTACACAACGTGCCTCAGTTTCGTTATCAGATTAGGTAAATATATATGTTCTTTATATATTTACTGGTGATTTATGTAACATACTTCCTTTTTTACACATGTACAATATTCGGGAGACTTCATAACACAATGAGTAAGGCAGTACTTCTTAATAATACAAATCCTTGAGTTTTACTACCAATATCTAATTTCGAAACTGAATATGACTACCAGTTTGTCGATTGTGATTGTCGATCGATCGAAAATTTGCGGTTGTCGATCGATCGAAAATTTGCGGTTGTCGATCGATCGAAAATTTGCGATTGATTAAAAATTAGAAGTACTTCTCAAATTCCCTAAAATAAAAATTATTGTTAAGGCATCAAAACGGTTAGAACTTGATTGGAAAGCAAATAAAATGAAAACTTATTACGCTGACTGGCATATTCTAACCGCATACTACCGCTAGAGCTACCAGGTGTTACTCCGCTCGCGTTTCAACATTGCAACGGCTTCATCTTATGATTTTTTCTGTTTCGTGGAAAGCCCCGCTTCTAAGCTCGCTTGCCCACACAGTCCTGCGCTCTCGTAGCGACACTGAGATGTACTCTATTTTAAATGTAAAATATTATTTGGAGTGTTTTTACTCTCTTCAATTTGAATCGCACATTTTGGAGAGAAATAAAAACTATTTTGTGCGCATGACACTTGAAAATACACGAGCGTAGTATTGGTAACGGTGAGATTATTAATTATTGATTATTAATTATTAATTATTATTATTATTATTATTATTATTATTATTATTATTAGAGGTTAGAGGGAAAATTTAATAAAATGCTAATGCAATGCGGTCATAATTATGTTCAGGAAAGATAAATGACGGGGTTGTGTAATGAAACTGATTTCAAAGAACAGCAACAATTACCATAAGTTTATGATAATTGTAAACTGAAAAAAAACTTCCTTCAAATCTGGGCAATACGCTCTGCTCATGTTTTCTTTTTTGAATATTTTTTTAATTGGACTTCATTAGATAATCATTGTTAGTAAA